AACCTGGGATTTCCACAGCTGGGTGGGGACAGAGCAGGGCCAGCTACACCCCTGGGGCTTGGAAGTGCTCCCCTGAGACTCTACCCCCGCCTTCCTCCTCTCCCCTTGCATTCATGAGTCACCCCTGCAGCACAGTCCAGGCCTGCCCCAGTGCTCTCCTTGCCTTAATAGTTCCAGGAGCCTCCAGCCTGCCCTGGCATGCCTGCATAGGCAGTTAGAGGCAAACCCTTTTTGGGTCCCTGTGGCCCATCCCCCCACGCTGAGTAGGGCCTGGATCATGGCCACATTCCCTGGAGAGGAAACCTTCCATTGATCATTGTCACTTTGGATCTCGTGGCTTTCCGGGCCCCATACAGCGTGGAACGTGAATCAGAGCTGCCCTCGTGGCAGCCGGGATATCCTGCCTTTGTATTGGGTGTGATTCATCCCAGCTCCCCCACACTCTGTTCCTAGGCCCTTGGCACACATTACATATATTGCACATCTTACTGGTCAATCGTGAAATAAATTTGGGCTGGCCGCAAGTGCAAAGTAATTACCTCCTATATTCAGAGACCTGAGGAAGACTGTTTTACATATGAAAGCTTATCTAACATGATACCAGCTACCTAGTTGGTCCAATAAAAGAGATCACCCTAAGAAATCCTAGCCTCTCAAGTAGTTATCACATGGTTAACTGGTCAGTTGTGCAATCAATGTAGTAAAGGGCCAGCTATGAAAAGGGCCAAGCAGCTACACAGTGCTTGAAAATGTATAACAACTTTACAGCTGGTTTCTATCCAGGTTTAATCTGAACATGTAACAGGGCTCACACATGTGTGCATACATACACATGCACACACACATGCACACACACATGAACGCACACACACAGGGTCTCTCTCCAACCTTTGATTCCTGCTCCACCCAAGTTTTTAAACCATCTGCCTGGAGGGGCAGGGGCATTTCTATTCTGGCAGTAATGAGAGAATCCACTGACTTTGTGGCTCATTAGCATCTCCCTAGTTCCTGCTAATCTCTCACTACTCCATAGGTGTGCATGACCCTCTCACCTTTTCAGTGGTCTTGTTCTACTATTCAAGCCATCCTTCCTTCTGCAATGTTGCTGTCTGTCAGCCATTCCTCTTAATGTTTCTCTCGTATTTCACAGCCCTGTAGACTGTTTATAGCTTTTGCCAAAAGCCTTATCTCAGGTGTGGTCATATGAATTTAGGTGAACATTAACTCAGGTGTGGAGATGACTGACAGTGAAGTGTTGGATGCACTGTCAAGACACACAGGCTAGTTTGTGCTTTATACATCTGAACAAGAGATGCACAATTAACTATGTGGCTACAGGATTCATGAAACAATTTCTTTTGATGATTTTTGCCTAGTTTGTTGTGTATTTTTAAACCTTATATAAAATCTAACTAATTTGCACACATTCCTATAAAGCTCGACTTGTTTTTGCTTTGCTATTAAGCTGAATATCATTGCGCTAGGTGCCTTAGTATGTTAGTAAAGCTTCTAGTTTCTATTTAAGAGTCAGCATGGATTCACCAAGGACAAGTCATACCTGACCAACCTGATTGCCTTGTATGATGGGATGACTGGTTCTGTGGGTATGAGGAGAACAGTGGATGTGATATACCTTGACTTTTAATACGGTCTCCCACAACGTTCTCACAAGCAAGCTAATGTAGTACAGGTTGGATGAATGGACTATAAAGTGGATAGCAAACTGGCTGGACCACCAGCCTCAGAAGGTAGTAATCAATGACTAGCTGTCTAGCTGGCAGCTGATATCAAGTGGAGTGCCCCAGGGGTCGGTCCTGGGGCCAGTTTTGTTCAATGAATTAATTCATCAATGACCTGGAAGATGGGACAGAGTGCACCCTCAAGAAGTTTGCAGATGACACAGGCTGGGAGGAGTAGCAGATACATTGGAGGGTAGGGCTAGGGATCAGAGTAACCTTGACAAATTAGAGGATTCGACCTAAAAAAAATCTCATGAGGTTCAAAAAGAAGGGCAACGTCCTGCACTTAGGATGGAATAATCCCATGCATCAATACAGGCTGGGGACTGACTAGCTGATTTGAACATCCCATTTTTTTAGCCACCAAGAAGAGGGGAGGGGAAGACTTAAAATTTGCACAGGGAAAAGGAAAAGAGGAAGGAGTGCGGGGTCCAAATTGGGTTTTTCCCAAGTGAAAAAGCAGTTTGAAATGGACTTTTTTTTTTCCATTGGGGGAGCAGCAGGGAGGAGGCCTCAAAACTCAGTTTTTTGGGGAGTCTAAAGGGATCTGCTTATGGCTGGTTAAAAATTGAAGCTGACTTGCCTCTTCCTTCTCCTCATCCATCAGAATGATGGGGTGGAGGGAGAGTGAAACTCCCTTAGTTCCCAGTTTAAAAAATGGGAATTTTAAGTCCTCCCTTCTGGTGGTGGACTGGGGAAAGAGGGAATCTCCAATCTAAACCAAGGCAGCTGAGTGGGAAATTCGTCTCTTACTTGTTAATCCAATGATGGTACGGGTCTTTTTACCAAGTATGCAGACTAAGACATGGTTGTCCTTAGGTATCCTCAGCAGTTACAGTTTTAGTACCTTAGTTAGTCAAAAGCCGAACATCATGCTCACCACACCGAGCTATAACAAACACACCATCGCTGGATGGCCAGTCCGGGAGGTCTTGTCCACGGTTCCTGACTCCTTCATCTGAGTTCTGAGTCTTGGATTGGTGACTGGGTCTTTTAAGAGCAGACTCTGAAGGGTACACTCTCTCACTGCTCTTTATATACCAGATAGCTTTGCATTTCTTCATACAGGTTTCCCTCACTTTATGCAGTACACGCGTTCCTGGAAAACAACACGTAACTTGAATTCGCATAAAGGGAACCCATTTTACAATGCAACAAATAGGGATACGTTCCAAGACCTCAACTGAACTGACCCCCAGGCCCATTTCTATCACTTTTACAAGACATTTTTGGTGCTCACCAGTAGCAAACAGTACTATTGTAATGAGGATGGCAGCTACAGAAACACGTCGCAGACGAGTGAGGAGCACAGATCCACACAGGAGACTGTATTTTGGTGCACATCCCTCCCACAATGCACCGCACAAAGCAACTCCACCACACTAATCGCATAAGCATTAATTATCTTGCATATAACAAATTTTTAGTATAAAAAGGGTCATCACATAAGAGCGAATTCGCACATAGAGAACCCGCATAAAGCGAGGGGAGCCCATTACATAAAAAGAGTTTAAGTCTCCCTCCTAATGCATATTAAGAATTTTGCTTCTGTTTGCCAAATATGGTTACCCTCAACTGAAATTTTCTATTCTGAAGTAATTTTTTCATTCTTAGGTAGAGGTAGGTTTTTGCCTCTTACTGCTCCTCTTTTGCCCAGGCTACACTTGTTCTGAGCTGACAAGAGGCCGAGAAGCAATTTATTCAATTTATTTAGCCAACTCCCCAATTTGTATAAAGTCAGGAACAGTATTTGCCATCTGCTCCTTTCACCGGGTGCATGTCTCGACCACAATTCAAGCTAAGCACTCAGCTTAAGCTAAGTACAAAGGTCAAAACCTAGGCCTGAAGGCCTCTGGGTCCCAGACCACTGCTGGGATTGGGGACTGGGCCTCCTGGATGAGGGGGATTTGGGGACAGCAGAGGCCAAGGGGGTAATGAAAAGCAGGGGTTGGAATGTGGGGGGGACTTGAAACAATTTTTCTTTAAGCTGCAAGCGTGCGAGGGTAGGGGAGGGAACTTGTAACTAGCTTTATCAAGGCAGGGCTGTGAGGAGGTGAAATGGAGTTTTTTAGCTTGTGGGTGTGTGTGTGTTTAGCTTGTGTGTGTGGGGGGGGTCATTTTTAGCTGGGGTGTGTGTGTGTTTAACTTGTGGGGGTGTAAATATGTTTGTGAGGGGGGTGTGCATGTGTATATTCAGTTTGTGGCATTGGCAACGTATAGGGG